ATGTGAATTTCTCCACTGTGAGATAAATAAAGGCATATCTTATCTTATCTTATCTTATCTTATAAATGGGAGAACATTCATACTTTTCACACAAGCAACCACTGTTGTGATTATATGACACCATGAATCATAATTATCCCCTAATACTGCTTGATATTCTGCAGTACAAATAAGGAGTGGTCAGCAACGGTTGGAGAATGTTTACAATGTTTTCAGGTCTCATAACTCTATTCTTCCTTCTCCACAGCTGAGACCAAGATCTGTTTCAAGTACTACCATGGAGTGAGCGGAGCCCTGAGAGCCACGACCCCCTGCATCACTGTGAAGAATCCAGCTGTCCTGGTGTGTACGACTGTGTGTGTATGATAGAGAGATATGCTGTTAAATCAGCCTGACATTTGGACCTGTGGAGTCTCTGGCTTTGGCTCAGATTACATCAAAGAATTGTGATTAGTTGTGATCGTTGTATTTGCTGACATACTAGACGTGTGAGTCACCGACTGAAAGCGGTGTGTTCGCTGCTTGAAACTTCATATTCAGGTCAGAGTGTTTTTTAAATGCACCAGCTACCAGGGCTGTTGCCAATAAGCAAATTTCAAGTTTCTGTAACCGGAGCCATAGCCACGATGGCCGCCTGGTCGGCAGGAGTTCTGTCTGGAAATCTGTTGTATTCTTTGAAAAATGGTCAGTTATGTAACGTACACATGATTTGTACATAATGGAGCCTTGTGGTGGTTCAGGCAGGCATGTAATTCATTGTTTGTATGCCATGTTGCAATGCTGTCGACTTGATTGATAACCAAATGTTGTGTCGTATATGACCACAATCAATCCCTAACACTCAGCTACATCAAAGATGAGCTGTGCGTCCTCACTACTACACCGCTGCCTGCTTTCAGTAATTTAATTCCCTGAACCTCCTAAGATGTCTCCTCTATTACCATTCACGATTTATGTGAGTTTAGCAGGACAAACGCAGGTGTGTGTGTGTGTGTGTGTGTGTGTGTATGGTCCTTGGAATACAGCTTTGCCCTGTGCTTTTTTTCCCCTGTGGTATGTAGAGTGTGACACTGTCTCTTGCCTCTCAGGTGGAGGGGCTGACGGAGCAGGTGGGCGTCGAACATCCTCGGAAGCTGATCAGCTTTACGTTGACAGGTGAGCTGCGGAGTTTTCATCCCTTCAAATCAGGGCCAGCGTGTAAGGGCAAGTCAGTAACTCGAAGTAAATTTAGCAGTACCTTCAAAAACAGACCAGACATTTGGATTTTTGTGATGCCATCTTATCATCATCTTTGTCTTACAGTCCCTTTGGGAAAAAACTAGAGTAAACTTTAAAAGCTGTTTTCTGGGAACACAGTGGCCTTGGAATTAAAACAGATGTCTCTGCCAGAGAAAAACTAAAAATGTTTCTTCTGAAGTCAGGCAATATCATTTTAATGAGTTTACAAGAACAAATTTCCACCTTGCTCATCCAATCCACTTTGCTCTTGCAGATCTGCGTGCCACTGGCTTGAAGAAGGGCATGTTTTTCAATCCTGACCCGTACCTGAAGATGTCCATCCACCCAGGGAAGAGAAGCGTCTTCCCCATCTTCAGCCATCACGGACAGGAACGGCGATCAGCTATCATCGCTAATACCACCAACCCCGTCTGGCATGGAGAGGTGATGTTTATGTCTTGTCATGCAGAATGTCTTTTAGCACCGACACACACGTTCTCTTTTTACACTATGAAATATGTATGTCAGCTGAGAATCTGTGTGTATTTGCTTTTGCCTCTCTACAGAAATACACATTCGTGGCGCTGATGACAGATATTCTCTACATCGAGGTGAAGGACAAGTTTGCAAAAAGCAGGCCGATCATCAAACGCTTCCTTGGTCAGCTCACTATCCCCGTCCAGCGGCTTATTGAAAAAATACCTGGGTGGGTTCCACAAAACAGACACATGCAGACATGAATTCACTCACAGCCAAATACACAAATAGAGCATACTTCATAATGTAAGCAGTTCAATTAGATGGTTATTCGTATGCTCTGTGGACAATGTTTATGTTTCCCATGTGGGGAAAATCTATTTCTATTGTGTACTATGAGTGTTAAAAACTTAAAATTGTAAAGTAAAAGTTGTCAAAATAGGATTACATCTATTTACTTCTGTCATTCCTCAAGCCGCCCCACCACTAAGTAGCCTCCCAGCTTTACAAGTCTGTGACAGTTTTACTCAAAGGCTGCATGTTCTGTTGTTGAACCAAGACTGAACACAAGCATCTGAGGAAATTAAGATTTAGTGAATTACTTTTTTTGATGGCAGTGTCCCCGTAACAATAGGAAAATCCTTAGTGTTGGCAGGTAACGGTTACTATGGTTGATGTTGCTGTTAGCTTTGATTGTACCGCCAGAGGTCAAAGCTTTGTAAAGAAGATCGATTTGAAACCAATAAACAAGGACTGGATGGATTAATGACTTCAACTTCAGCTGCTGTTTACATGTGTTTACTTCTCTCCTGACCTCTGTGCTCACATGCATTTCAATGCGGCTGATTCTCACTAAAGCTGTTCACATTTACATATTTTTCTTTTTCTCTTGTCAGACAACAGAACGAGTATGAAATAGTGACTAAATCGCAGTCCATTAAGACCTCAAAACTATTTCCCTATCTGTGGTTCCACCCGCTAAACTGCTGATGTTCTAACTCTAACATTGCCTGACAAACTCACCATACACGTGAGTTACAAACAACAGCTGTGCTGTGGATTTGGCTGTATTTTCCTGTCAGACAATCACTGCTGGAAAGTTGGGAACAATAGAATATCCTGGTCTCACACTCATTCATGTCTGTGTCGGTTGCTGTGCAGGCAACTGTTTTGCTGCGTTCTGTCAATCACAGAAAAAGAGGTCTTGTTCTTCCTGAAGGAGGCGTGGACGGCAGCAGCTCAGCTGCATTTAAAGCTACAGACTCTGAAACAGCACATTTAGCACAAGGCTAAACCCAGGGCTTATACAGTCATGGTGAAATGAAGCCTCTTTGCAGTATTTTGAGCTGAAAAGCTGAAAGACATATTCTGAGGATGTGAGACTTTCAGTAATTTGCTAAAAAGAAACACAACATAGAACCTTTAAGATACACACCAGGCCACAGATCCTATGTGATAATACATCATAGTATATCCTGTGTTGTTTGTTTCACTGGGCAGAATCCAGCCTGTGAGTTTCTCTCTGTGTCGACGCCTGCCCACTGAACATGTAAGCGGGCAGTTGCAGTTCAAAGTTGAGCTCACCTCGACTGGGCCGGATGGTAAATCTGCCTTTCAGCTCTATTTTAACATCCGTTACTGCACAGTGTATTTTCTTTAAATGTGTTTTCATCAATGTGCAAACTGGTCTGCCTGCAGGTGCCTCTCCTGATTCTATCATTGGCATTTCGTCCTTGAATGGAGCTCCAGGGACTCCATCCGATGATGAGGACTTGCCCCACCACCTTCCAGGTGTGGTCTCTGCTGGCCCCTCCCCTACAGGTTCTCAGGGCTCCCAAAGCATGTGGGAAGGCGGAGCCACAGCCTGCCCAGAGAAAGACCTTCCTCTTGTCGGAGCAGAGGGCAGATATATGGAACCTGAAAGCCTTTCGGGCCATGAATTGCTACAGAGGTCACTCAGTGAGGGCCTGGATGCTATTGAGGCCCCTAAAGGCCCCGGTGAAAGACCCTTGGGTGCTGCTTCACCCAAATTACGCTCGAGTTTCCCCACACACACAAGGCTCAGCGCCATGTTACACATCGATTCAGATGAGGATGAGGAGAGGTCCGGCGCCAATGACATCACTCCGGTGCCACTGTCACCACTGCTAATGAATGGAGTACCTCCAGACGTCAGTGGTCCTGAGGAAGACGACCTGTTTCCTGAGCTTCAGCAGGAGCCTGAGCAGCTGGAGCACTCAGTGCTGGAGGAGGAGCCTGAGGGTGCAGGTGCTATGATAGAAGACATCCCTCCTGGGGCAGAAGTGGCCCCGGAGGGTGAGCTTGGTTTGGACTTGGAGGATGTTCTGGAGCCAGACGTTTTCCTTGAAGTGGAGGAGGCTCCATTCGCAGAGGCTCATAATGTTTTGCCAGAGGGTGGACAGGTAGCTGAGCAAGGCAGGGGGCCTGTGGAGGACCCTTCATCAGAGATCGACACCTGCTCAATGGCTACAGCCCCTCAGACAGCGTTCTCATCATCAGAGAGCTGTCCAATCACACTGACCACTGCTGTGGTGAGTTCACTCTCCTTACACGGATTTAACCTTCTGTTTATATCAATTATATTACAAAACTACAAATGTCCTCCGAGACACTGTGAGTAATTACTATTTATTATTTATATATCTCTGATTTATTGGTTAAATAGTTTGTGTATAAAATGGCAGAAAATAGTTCAAAATGTTAATGTCAGTGCTTGAGGTAACATCTTGAAATTGCTAGTTTAGTCCTAATTATAGCTCAAGGACCAAAAGATACTCAATTTACAATGATAAAAAAACAGAAAAGCTGCAAATACACCAGTTTGAGAAACTGTAAACAGCAAATATTTGACATTAAGCTGCTTTCTGTAAAGGATTATTGTACATTGCGTTATTATTTAAAATTTGGTTCCTGTACATTTCCATGTTGGCTAACTGCTTGTTTGCTGCTTTAAGGTATGTCTCATATACATACATTACTCTCAGGGGAACATGTCTGCAAGGAAACCTCAGACCCAATTATCAGATAGAGCAATATTTTAACATATTTTAATAATTCTGTTAACAGTTTATGTTTTATTTTTTTTTATTCTTCATCTCTGACAAATGTATGTAATGATTTTTTTCCCATTTAATTTTCTCTTGTCAGTTTGAAGAACAGTGTGCTAAATTGTACATTACATTAATGTTTGTTCGCGGTCTTCTTCACTGTCTTCTTGACTGTTGATCGGTAGTATGAGAAAAAATGACTTTTGGATATGAACCTTACTGCCTGAGTGCTTGTGCACTTGCATTTGCAGCTTTGTGTGCATGCACGTTGTAATCAAAGCATCTCTAGAGTGCTGCTACATTTCACACAAACAGAACTTAATGTCCACCAAGTGAAACAATCTTTTAGTTCCTCCTAAACTACAGTAGTGAGTTAAATACTTGAAAATCAATACATTTTATCCCATTTGTCAACTGACAAGTAAGATGCAATTGAAACTTAAATCATCATCCATCCATCCATCCATTATCTATACACTGCTTAATCCTCACTAGGGTCGCAGGAGTCTATCTCAGCTGACTCAGGGTGAAGACAGGGGACACCCTGGACAGGTCACCAGTCTATCACAGGGCTACACTTAGAGACAGACAACCAAGTACACTCACATTCACACCTACAGACAATTTAGAATCACCAATTAACCTCAGCATGTTTTTGGATCATTAAAGGATGCAGCACCACAAGACTCTTCTGCAGCACCATCCTCCTACTTTATGGTGGAAAGTTAGTTGGAAATGTTTTTGCCTTTTCGTCTGACTTGTTTTGTTTTCGTAGTGACTTTCTCAGAACAGCGGATGAGTGGGAACCAGTGATCTGTATCCACTTTTCACTGAATCTTTTTTCACAAGCATGCTGCGATTGGTACTAGATGTCACGCGCCAATGCATATTTGCATAAAGTCAAACTTTCTTTTGTTGCCTTGGTGATTTAGCCAATGTTGGCTCGTGTTCTGAGCTGCCGCTGAGATCGTCTGACTTCCTGTAATTTACTGATATTTTGTAGCAGTAGGCGTGGATGCCTTACATATCTCTACACTGTATGTTTCACTCAGTTGATTCAGCTGCAGTTGTGGCATCATCTACAGTACTTAAATCAGTGTGAACTCATGTCAGTCAAATGCGATTCTGTGTCTTTGTCGAATTAATATTATTTTGTCGTTTTCCTAATTGCTTTTTTTGGGGGGGTATTTTGTAGGAACCAGAGGAGGGAGCTGAGACGGCCATAGATCCAGGGGGAGATGTAGAGTCCGGGGCCCCACCAACCAATCAAGCTGTGGATGATGAAGGGGGTGGACAAGCTGCTGCTGCTCCTGCTGCTGCTGCTGCTGCTGCTGCTGCTGCTGCTACCTCTGAGGTTGAAGGACAAGCTGCACCCGCTAGTGAGCAGGTGGAAGTTGAGGAGATCAGTGTTCGGAGGCTGAGCCTGCAGGCTTCAGGGGGCGTGGCCGAAGCCCAGGAAGGGGAGGAGACGAAGCCAAGTGAGGAGGCGGGGTCTGCGGAGTCAGAGCAGGTTACCACAGAAACAGATGGAGAGGAAGGTAGTCAGCTTTACACAAATCTCAAATGCGTCTTTAAAATCACTCGCTTTGGTTTTTTGGGTGAATGTCACAGCCAATAAGGGTGCTTGGTTGGGTCAAATAGTTTAGTCCATTACTAGTGTTGGTCACACAACACTTCTACCTCATGTTTAAACAAAATTCCTGCTGCGTCTTGTGTGTTTTCTGTGTTCAGGTACCCATGTCAACGGCCATCCTGTACGATCGCTTCCTTCTGTGCGTCACGACATCCATCGATACCAACGTGTGGACGAGCCTCTACCTCCCAGTGAGTGTGTGTGTCTGCACGTGCTGTGTCGCTGGTTGATTGTTGTGCGCGTGTAGCAGTGCGTCATTCTGTTCATGTGTCTGTTGTACATCCATGTCTGTTGGACATATGTGTTAGACCTGACAAAACCCTTAAAAAATCAAGCCAACATGAACCCTAGAAAATCCAAAGAATGACTTTATTGATGCAGTGATTCCTCATCTTGTAACCAAACACATTTGAAAGATATAACTAAGATTATATCAAGCTTTGAATTACTTTTTTGTCACACTACTAAGACTCTTTGCGTGACAATGTCAATCAAGGTAACCTGGGTTGTATCCACTCTGGCCTGAAATGATGAATTGCCCTGAACGTTCATGATTCCCAGAGGAACAATCTTAGTGACTTTCAGATGTCCTGGCTTATTATCTGGAGCCACCATGGGGATGATGGTTTTGGGTTTGGAGTCAGATGTGTCAACTGATATTGGATGAAATGCTGTATTTGTAACTAAATGTATTTGAAGGATATATGCATAGACATTCCCTCTGTTTTTAATGCAAGATGCTAGCATGCATGATGGTAAACATTATCAGCATTATACATGGTAGATGTTATCATTTTAATATGTCTTGATTCCACTGTACATAACTAACTGTATACAGTATATTCCATAGTTAGTAGTACACTTGTGTTTCTGGTGCAGGTAATAAATACATTTTGATCAGAGAGATGAATGTATGAGAGTGATGCTACAGTGAACTCTGCACTCTGCAAAAGGGAACTCTGACCTGCAAATCTGTTGGAGCTGGCTGGAAATTGTAGCAAAACAGGAAACACAGACTTGAATGTGGCCATTTTACTGTTTATTGGAACGAAATGGAAAAAGAAAAAAATCTGATCTAAAATGTATTGGACTACTAATGAAGATCCTGAAGTGTGTTAGTTATTTCTTGGGAAGCTTCATCTTTAATTTTTACAGTTATACGTCCGCAAGGCACTAAACACCTACTTTGTATCCATTATTGATTGCCTCTCAGACTGGGAGGCTCGGATCGACAGCCATGGAAGGATCTTCTTTGTGGACCACGTGAACAGAACCACCACGTGGCAGCGTCCCACTGGACCACCTGCCCCACAGGGCCTGACCCGCTCCAACTCCATTCAGCAGATGGAGCAGCTCAACCGCAGGTGGGTTTAAAAAAAAAAAGAGAAATCATCATAACTGGAATAGTCTAGATTTGTAAGTAGTGAGCAGAGACCACCAATGAGTGTGTGTATATGTTTAATATGTGACTAAATCAGAGTCATCAGTCGCGGCTTTTAATACTCAAGAAAGGCAAAACAAAACTTGGTGTTAACTAAACTGGGATCTCAAAGGTGTTTCATTTCTCATGTGTACTCTCATGTCTTTTTATCAGGATATTGCCCGTGGTTGTCTTCTTACATCAGAGCTAAACAATTAATTGATTTTAAGTAGACATCAGGATTTGAAACTATTCAATTAACAAATCACAAAGACTATCAATTTATAATATGCATTAAGCAGCACATCTGGAAATTAAACTGTTGTGGGGTTTTAGAAGTCATCCTCGTTGTGCGACCTTTCCTGGCATCTTGTGGTAACATTTAGTCACATGTTACAATCAGGACCACACTATTACAAAGTGAACTCTGAACCCAAGCGTGACGAAAATCAAATCGCAATGTTTGTCAGGAAAAATCACATTTAGATATTTTCCCCAAGTCGTTCAGCCCTACTGTGTTTGTTTTTATTTTGGGATTTTTGAACAAATAAACCCTTGAATGAACGAAGATGTCCAAAGAGGAGGAGTGCTTCTGTATTTTGCTCTCTTTGCTAAAGAGGCCTCAATTTTATTCTTTTCTTTGATTTTCCTAAAAAGCAGTTGCACTCCAAGACTCTGTTTTTTTGGTGAGCTGGTGAAAAACTGTACTTCATCTGTTGCTCTTGATCCCAGATACCAGAGCATCAGGAGAACCATAACCAACAGTGATCGTTCAGAGGAAGCCCCAGTTGACCTGCTTCCTGAACCAGAAAGTGAACTGATGCCCCACTCCATTTCTGGTACGTCTCAGTGGACTTATAACAGACAAATGTAGAAATATTTTTACATACATGTATATATAAAAAGAACTCCGAATTATTTTTGAGAAAAAAATATGTGTCCCTCTACATGAGTCAAGATTCATCTTTTAAAATACTGTTATAAGCCATGAGTCTGAAAACTGTATATAGACAAAGACTTTTAAATGGCAGTAGTCTGCAAAGATGTCTTCTTTTGCGTCACTTGCGCTGCAAAATTCTAGATGTAATTTTGAAACTCTTCAGATCTGCTTTTGTGTAGCTTGTTTTTGTACAACAGCCTCACACGTTTTGTGTTTTCACGGCATAAACTGCTTTGGTTTGTGTCAAGCTCTGACTTTTATTTGTCAAATCTATTACAGAATACAGACGAGAAAGCGCAGTCGCTCACTCCAGTGGTCGCTCGCGCCTCTCCCTGCTGCTCCAGTCGCCAAGCGCCAAGTTCCTGTGCAGCCCCGACTTCTTCACCGTGCTGCATTCTAACCCTGTCAGTCTAACACGTTTATAACAAAGACACATTTAAACCTCAAGAAGCAGTTCTATTCAACAAATGTCACTTTGAGCTCTTATGATGCTGGTCAGAAAAAAAAAATTGATCTAAACTTTAACTAGCTCAGGGTGTATTAGAGAGAATTGGTTTCTGTGCAGGTTTTAGAAGTTAACGACAAAATACAAAGACATTTTTTCATGTGTTGATTTCTAGACCAAACAATTATTTCATCCATTACTTCAACCTTTATTTAACTTGGAGCACATTGAGGTACAGATGTATGTCCAATGCAGTAATAGTAAGTAAATAAGAAATATACTTATTATACACTTGATTAAACAGGAATTTTAAATTTTCAAAAAAAAAAAAAAAGGAAATGATTCTATAATTTAACCAGTAATCAGTCAATAACTTGCACCTGTAGTCAGATACAGATGTTCATATGGAAATGTGATCAGTTGAAAGATGGCTAAAAGATACCAAAGTTTAATTTCAGGGACTTTCCATGAGGTGCCTCTGGAGATAGGTTTACATGTAGTGCTGCTCATTCCAGCACATTGTGTGCACCCTTGAGCTCCAACCCATGTGTTGAATGTATTTCCTTCCTTGGATGCACGTCACATGACAACAGAACGCTGCTCAGACAATCGGCTCCATAATGTACAGCTCCACAGCACACCTTTCTGTTTTCTAGCACAATTCTAACATGTCGTCTCAGAGCATGCAGAACTGATCCTGCACTAGATATATAAGAACATAATTCAAAAACAGTTTTCCATCCTGTGCGAATGGACTGCAATTGAGCCCGAAGCTGGTTCTCCTGTCGGTCTCCTGTCTCTTTCTGATCACCTCGTTTCTCTGCCCTCTCTGCTCAGAGTGCCTATCGCATGTTTACGAGCAACACCTGCCTGAAGCACATGATCAGCAAGGTGCGTCGAGATGCTCATTACTTTGAGCGCTACCAGCACAACCGCGACCTCGTCACCTTCCTCAACATGTTCTCCAACAAGCAGCTGGAGCTTCCCCGGGGCTGGGAGATGAAGCACGACCATACTGGGAAGGTGTGTTTGACATGTGACTTTTGACATGGGATAACTCTGACCCTTAAGGTCACTTGTTTCCAGTGACTGTAATCTCCTTTCAGCTGACCAATAGAGTTTTAATCCCTACTTCAATTGTACTGGATGTGAGGATTTCTGATGAGTTTATCCATACGTGACTATTGATTTGTACATTTCAATCCTCAGCCCTTCTTCGTGGATCACAACTGTCGCTCCACGACCTTCATTGACCCACGGCTGCCCCTCCAAAGTTCTCGCTCCACCGGGCTGCTGGCCCACCGCCAGCATCTGAGCCGCCAGCGCAGCCACAGTGCTGGGGAGGTGAGAGACTACTCCCCACTGCAGCACTTGTCACCTGACATCAACTTAAGGCTCACACAGATAATGTTAATAGAGACCAATTACAAAAATGCTTAGTGAGTTGCTCTGTTGTGGGCAGAGCCGGGGGTTCTGTAGTGAAGCCATCAGAATGTTTTCTTTTACACTCAGAATATGTTCGAATACCACAGGACCACATCGGGATTTCAGAATGCAGTTACCCTCATCCTTCCAGATATCCCACTGTATTATGTAAATAACTGAGGTTCTTTATAGACATGTCGAACAGTTGATTGTTTTTATGTTGATACGAGGGATGGCCCAAACCTTTGGCTGATAATTGCTTCTGGCTTGTTTACATTCATCTCTTTCAAATCATTTAGGTCCTATATAAAGCACTGATGAGCATCACTCAATCATTGTCGTACTAGCAGTGATACGTTAGTCCGTTTCACCACAAACACCAGGGATCACACTGAATGTGATATAAAGCTCCTGTTGCCTCACAAATCCATACAACCCCCACCACTGCTGGGTGCCGTTCTCTGTTGAGGGTAAAGAGTTTGGATAGGTCTCTTATTAGGAAAACATTTGTGTATTGATGCTAATGCAACGGGGACTGTCTTTGTTCTTCATGCACCTTCATGCAGTCTTTTTGCAGTGTTCTGACATCAGAAACTATTGACAAATAAGCCTTTTAATACAAATGTACATAGTTATTTCACAGTGTGTCATTTTACCCATGATTGACCTGCTGGGTTTGACTTTGTGACACACGTAATCCCTTTCTGAAGATGCTTTTTAAAATACTTATATATTCATCAATGAGGTAATTCTAAGGTTTTATGGTGATGGTGCGCCTATTTGAAGCTAATTCAAATATCTGCAAGTTGTTTTTTGTACCGTACTGGCATGAACTGAAACAACTTCTGGGTCTGGGTGATGCTACATCTGTGTCAAACCAAACAGTGGGCAGTATGTGAAGAGAAACTAAATCTGTAAGGCGGAAATGAAATGTATATAATTAGCTGCTTTACCGGATGTATGGCTGCAAACTGACCGCTGCAGCGTCTTTTAATATCAGGTCAGGGAGAGGGGGGACGTAAAGAGAGAGAAATGCTGAGACAATGCCAGACAATAAAAACACGTCAGTGAGAGCAATAAAAACATATTGCAGCAAATTAAATGATGTCGACGCGACCACAACACGACAAAAGAGCAGCATGTTATTTTTCTCTCAATTAGACCTTTCTGTTGTCGTTGCTGTATAGCAGGTCCAGTCCACTGTCTGTGTGAAGCAGACAGTGATATTATTATGGAGTTATACATTTTGTTTACCTAAAAACCTGAGGGTAATCAGCCCAGCATCAATGTATCAGAGCTTAATTGCTTGTTTACATCTGTAGTATCACCACGCTAAATCCAAAACTTACAGTGATGCAACATTTTGCGCCCTTAAAGCATAATTTGCATTTCGTACAAGCACCCCCCCCCCCATGGTATGCTTTGGAAACTCATATCATAGTTATCCCAAGGCTGCAGGGTGGCGCAGTTGGTTAGCACTGTTGTCTCGCAGCAAGAAGGTTGCCGATTCCCGGAATCTTTCTGCGTGGAGTTTGAATGTTCTCCCCGTGCAGCGTGGGTTCTCTCCGGGTTCTCCAGCTTCCTCCCACACAGTCCAAAAACATGTTGAGGTTAATTGGTGATTCTAAATTGTCCGTAGGTGTGAATGTGAGTGTGCTTGGTTGTCTGTCTCTAAGTGTGGCCCTGTGATAGACTGGTGACCTGTCCAGGGTGTCCCCTGCCTTCACCCTGAGTCGGCTGGGATAGGCTCCAGCCCCCCCGGGGGCTTAAGCGGTGTATAGATAATGGATGGATGGATAGTTAACCCTCTGAACTTCATGTAGTTTCTGAGCGAGTTTGTTCCTGTTCCATTATCCCTCACTGTGAGCCCGTTTTTGACTTCAATATAAAATCCTGCACCTTTAACAGCACAACTATGGCTAAAAATAAAAATAACTCAACAATATCTTCTTTGCAGTAAAACAAAATAAAGAAAATATGAAAGTTTTATTTATTTATTTTTTTGATTATTTGTTTTACAAAAATGTAAAAACCTGATTGTACAACATTTTTCCAAGTTCCCACAAGTGTTACCACTCATGAAAAAACAGAGAATGCGCATGCAGGATATATTTTACTATCTCTACTAAGGAGGAATTTCACACTCCACAATGCACATTCATTCTTTAAAGATATTTCAAGTTGCTACTCTCCATACCGTTTTTGAGCCATGTTGCATTTATTTTTTAGATCAAGTTTTATTTCAGTCTCTCTCATTTGTATTCATACTTCTCTCCTCACTTCTCTGTGTAGACACAGCCTGCAGTTCAGCCAAATCATCACTGACTTTTTGTCACGTGCCACAACAAAGCCATGGTTTCATTCATGGTTTCTCAGTTGCACTGAGGGGCACAATGAATTTTTTAGTTTTATGGAAACTTTTTGATTTTGAATAAATATCTGTCAGCTTAGATTTGGTTAATTTTCCCGACAGAACTGGATGTCTGTGGGAGCTGTAAATTAATTTTTTTTTAAATCCAGTGATTCTTTCTAAATGGTGTCATTTTGGGGATTAAAGATAGCGGGTTTTTAACCTGCTGCCAGATTCTGGGGTTCAGAGGATTAATTGTGACAACTGGGTTGAGTTGAGGTCAGTGCTGACTGATGACTGGGTTGGTCTCAGAACTAGGATGCGACCTGAACTGTAGTGCGTCCTTTTGTCACAGGTGGTGGATGACTCTCGCCAAACCAACCCACCCGTCATGCCCCGCCCCTCCAGCACCTTCAGCGGCTCCAGTCGAAGTCAGTACCATGACGTGGTGCCTGTGGGTAAGTCGGACAGAATGAACATCCGTGGCTACGAGAGTAAAGCGATAAAGCACAAGACATATATCCTTGATTTTCTCCTCTTTATCCTCCAGCCTACAATGACAAGATAGTGGCGTTTCTACGGCAACCCAACATCTTTGAGATTCTGCAGGAAAGACAACCTGAGCTTGCGAGGAACCACTCGCTCAAGTATGCATCTCTCTTCCTTCGTCTTAGTGTTTTTTCTCTTTCTCTGCTTCCCTTTTTAACCTCCCTCTCTCCTCCTCTGTGGCCTTGCTCACCTCCAACACCTCCATTATCATCCTCATCAGTCATCCTGAATACATGGTTAACCTTTAATCCTAATGGATAGTGTCTGTTTAGCCCCTGACATGCGTGTGTGTGTTTGCAGGGACAAAGTGCAGTTCATTCGCAGCGAGGGAGTCAACGGCCTGGCTCGCCTCTCCAGCGACGCTGACCTCGTCATGCTGCTGAGGTGAGTCGTGCCGGAGTGTGATTGTGACACGGCGCAGAGACCGTTGGTCAGAATTACAACCAATTATATATCCTTCTTCAAAATTGGTAGCTTATGTCACCTTTTTAATTATTGCCCTTTGATCCGACGTGTTTGCACACATGGTAATTTAAGCTGTAAGTAGCAGTTACAGTCACGTGCTGAGTCATGCCACATGTCTTTAGTCGCTGTAATAGCTGCCTTCTCAGCCAGCCCTATTTTGTTTTTACATAAGCATCAGCAGCATTACTCTTCTATTACTCCTCACCCTTGTGTATGTGAATGTATGTGTGTGTGCGAGAAAGTCTAATTCCCATCTATGCTAATGCTACACTGCTCTGAGCTGTGTGGTTTCTTATCAGTACTTCATGTGTGTGTGTGTTTCTGACCGTGCTCTGTGTGCACGCCCCTCTCTCTCTCTCTCTCTCTCTCTCTCTCTCTCTCCTTCAGCTTATTTGAGGAGGAGGTGATGTCATATGTACCGCCGTTACTCCACCCAGGTTACTGCATCTCCTCGCCTCAGAGCTCCCCTGGTAGGTCTCTGTCTCGCTCTCTGTCTGCATCACACCAACCCCAACAGCTTTATAGGCATGATACACATATCTTACCTTTATTAAATCTTCTCCTTTTATTACAAAGAATCTAATAAAAGGTTTGTGTCTCTTAGTAAATAACCTCTTTTCATATATGACAGAGATTGATGTCAGGCTTAACCTAAAAGATGAATACACTCACATAAGACGTGAATAAACTCTTAGAAGAAATCCAGCTCACATTCCCTTTTAACTCTACATACAGAATTACTACAGTAAACTACAGTCACCTGACCTGATTCAAAGTACGTACATATCAAAGAACTATAAACAATTTAAGTAAAAGGAAACTGAATAAAGTGTCGTCGATACAAACACTTCTCTTCAGCTCACCTGTCACTGTTCTAATGTCAGTGTCTTTGTCTGTACACCTCTAATCTTTTAACCACAACACTGCCAGATGAAGCGATGGGTGTGTTTGTCTCTCAAATTAATGAAAGCTTTAACAGTCTGATACAAAACAACAATCCAGGATTAACCTGCATACACAACTTCCGTTTTTTTTTTGATTGCACATCCATTTAAACCTTACCCAGTTTTCACTAGAGATCATTAAAGTTCCATTTTATTTCCAAGCATTACCAAAATATATCTCCACACAAAGTCTGTATTGCTCTGAAACCTTCTTTTTGACATTCATTGTACACTTTTCCTTCCCCTCTCCTTATGTTCTATGTCTTTCTCTTTCTGTATCTGATTTTCTTTCTCATTTACGTCTTAGGCACTCAGCGAGCTAATGCCCGAGCTCCTGCTCCCTATAAGCGAGATTTCGAGGCTAAACTGAGGAACTTCTATCGAAAGCTGGAGACAAAGGGTTATGGACAGGGACCCGGGAAAGTCAAGTAGGTTTCATCACCACATAGAGAATTGTCTTAACAAGTGCTGATCTAGAAAACAGTGTAAAAGTAGTGACTCAACCAATGGTTAGTGCCATGTTTGCTGTTCTAACACCTAAAGTGGATCAGTTTATGGTTCAGAAGGACACAGCAGGGTTGTTTTGAAACAGATAAAACACTGGGTAGCGCAAGCAGTGATATCTGCCATGACTGAATGAAAAAAAGGCAGAAGGAAGCTAGTAATATTTTATTTTTTATTTTTATTGTTCACAGGACCATGAAGGAATTGATCCTAACTACAAAGCCTGATGTGTCTTATTCCTCTGTGCCACAGAGCTCCATTGTTGTGCAAAAACAATTAAAAACACATCAGTGAGCTACAGCTTTGCACTGTGTGACATGTTCGTTTATTGCCACGAACGCACACTGTAGTTTATTTCGACCCAATCCCTCAAACACATCCTGCTGTTGTAAATACTCACCAGAGCTCCAAATGTAAATTAATTTGCTGCTCAAAATACTCGCAGACAAATACGCTGTATCCTCTCTTGATTAACGTTTGCTAAAAGCTACAGTGTCCAGCTGCTTTGGGAAATTACTAAGCCTGTTTTTCAAAAAAATCTAACTATATATTTGTGCTATTTTTATAGATGCTAATGTGAATGAATGAACAGGCTCGGGCAAGGAGCCACACACAGATTAGGGAGGTCAGAAAGGACTCAGATGGACTGACTCATTGTTGGGTTTGATCTTTTCATGGGATTTGGTGACGCTAGCCTTATCCTTTGATATCCAACTTTATCAGACAGGATTTTCAGTGTCGTCAATATTAATACTTTTGCATTAACTTGTCTAGTGTTGGCTGTCCAGCTTCAGTCAGATCTGCAGGATAAAGTTACCAACATGCTTTTATGCTTTTTCCAGTTGTGTGTGGCACAACTGCAAATTATCTTCTTTTGGCATTATTGCCATTATTGGCAATATTGATTTTTTTTTGGAAAATTCAGACGCATTGCCTACTAGCTGAAGTTAATTAATAAAACAACACTACGTTCTTTGCTAACCCAAAAGTGTCAGGGATGATATTATTGGATTGAGTGCATGCTTTGTTTGTGTGTGCTCCTAGACTCATCATACGCCGAGACCACCTTCTGGAGGACGCCTTCAACCAGATCATGTGTTACTCCCGTAAAGACCTCCAGAGGAGTAAACTCTACGTCAGCTTTGTAGGCGAGGACGGGTGAGAAAGACACATTTTGCTCCCGTGTTATTTCAATATCAGACTTCAGACAAAGCAAGTGTGAGATGTGTGTCTTTCCTTTCTGTAAATAATCCAAGGAAGATTTGCTCAGCATTCATTCTTATCTTGAGCTTCAAAAATGATTATTTCACACACATCTGAAGCCACAGACTCCCAGTAAACCCACAGTGTTTGTGTGGACGAGTACTTGTGACATCATCATGTAGTATTTAATGCATTCTTTTGATTTATCTACAACATTTTTTTAAAAAAGGAAAAGTTAAGCTACACTTAATTTACACTAAAAGGCTTTGTTATTGGCTATAATTATTTTTTAAGTTGCTATCATTGTATCCGCTTGCATTAAAAATTTCATCTCACTTTAGCTGACGTGTTAAAATAGAAGATGAAGCAGAACAAATTCTTGCTAAAAGGCTTAATGCATTTTGGGAAAACACAAAAAAATTGTCAAGTTAGATAACTTAAAACTAAACAAAGGAGACAGAGCTCCTTGGACCAACAGTGATGATTAGTAATTGGTTGTTCGGTACATTCACACTTCTGCCTGGCTGCTGATGGGTCACATGAAGTTCCTGCTGTCAATCCAGGGAGCAACGTGAGGGAATATTCACTAAGAGGGAGTTAAGTTGCCTGAAAAATCACCAGACTTGTCTCGAGTTGCTCAAAAATTATCAATAAAACGCTCTTAAATGTCACCACATCTAGAAAGAAAACTGCTAAGCTGGTGACACATCCTTTGCTTATCAGTTCATTTATCATTTTGTGTCCTTTCCTTATTTCAAATGCACAAAGGGTCAGTGATATGCAGACTGTTGTCCCAATTTCTGCAAAATCCAATAAAATCTGATCCTGCTTTGATTGCACAGTTTTTGCAGAAGAACAGCAGAATTAATACTGACTCAGACCAAGATTTATACATATGTATGCATTGTGGGATGTGTGTTGCAGGTTGGACTACAGTGGACCCTCCAGAGAGTTTTTCTTCCTGGTGTCGAGAGAACTGTTCAACCCGTACTACGGACTGTTTGAGTATTCAGCCAATGACACATACACTGTCCAGATCAGCCCCATGTCTGCCTTTGTAGACAACCATCATGAATGGTGAGGCTTCTAATAATCTATGCATGTCTCTGTGTCTGTCTTGGTGATTGTATATGTTTGTTGAGGCTCCTGTGCTGACTGTAAAGCGTTGATTCTGTTCTGCCCTGACTGCTGCGTGCTGATCCCAAATTGGAAGCAATTTGCAGGGTGCTGTGTGGAAATTTGGATCAGCAATCTTTGGCTCACCAGTCAGTTTTGCTTCAGTGATTGGACAGATACATGGATGACCAGACTAATGAATGTATGGGTCAACACTAAGACAGAGAAATTATCAGCACACGCTGTGAAATCAGATCTTCAGGATTTTTATTGTCACATTGGACAAAACTTAAGGCAGCTATTAGGCTAAAGATTATCAAGTCAATGCCTGCCTTTTGTTCCCGTAGAGACAATATGTTTGATGCTAGAGACGTTTACAAGGCAGATAAGATAAAGATGCATCCTTAAAGTGAGAGGTAGATGCTGCGGGACTTATGAAGCTACACAACTCCTCATCCTCTCCTGCTGGTTGGGTTCTGTACAGCAGACTTCTGCACTGTTCCAACTCAGCGCTTTGCTCTCACAGTAAATCTTGGGGATTCTCATTTCTTGTCATTACTATGTCACCATCTGGTGCGTCCTCAGTTGGGTAAATGAGCTTCAAATTGTTCTTAAGCCTGCTAGATGCTACATGAAACACTCACACACAGACTGACTTGCAGAGGTTTTTTTTTTTTCTTTCACAGGAAAACAAATAATCTGTTTACTGCTTTGTTAAGAAAGGGTAAACCCACATCATCAAAGAAGGACATTCCCAACATTTGACCTGAGAAATGATTTGAATTCAGTCCAGTTCTGATGCCTGTGTTTTCCATGTTGTGCCCAGGTTTCGCTTCAGTGGACGCATCTTGGGGCTGGCTCTAGTTCATCAGTACCTGCTGGATGCGTTCTTTACTCGTCCTTTCTACAAGGGGCTTCTTCGCATGTAAGTCCCTCAGCCTGCTTCCCCCTGACTTCCCGTCATAAGTCAGCCTCCAGGGTACCACTACTTCCACTCATACGCCCTTCACTGACCGTTTAAGACCTTGCTGAGAATGTTTCAGTCAGATCCTCTCAGTCAGCAGCTGGCTGCAGTTTCTATCAGTAGGAGCAGCACCCTCATTAATAGCTTAGTCCAAACAACCTAAAACCCTGCCAAATGTCTGCACTGAGAACAGATGTTGTAATAATAAGGTTTCTTAACCTCTCCAGCAACAGTGATCCTTTCTTGGCTTCGTCATTATTGCATAGACAAGCATTTAATAAACAAACGGAAATTTGTGTTGGCCAGTATACTGCTGACTTGCAGGAAAATGTGTAGAAAATAATCCATAAGAGATTTTTGTGTTTAAATTTTTTTTTTAAAGTATTGCCCAGTGTAATAATCCTATTTTTTTAATACTTCAGTACAAGAAGGAATCCAAGTAGATGTTTTCAGTGTATCCATACTATTTATGGTGCATATTCACTCAAATGTAAAGAGATACAACCAAGAAAAAAACCCAAAACTATAAGTCATGCTGCCCAAGAACATGCTTGGTCGCACAAACAGCATGATCTGATTCTGTGCAGCATTAACTTAATCTGAAAATAACAGTGATATATTAAATATCTGGATGAAATTTGTAGGGCCTAGCATAAGGGAGTGAAAAGTGAGAAAAAACAGACAATAGATCAAGTGTTATAAAGAGGAATGTTGAGGGTGTTATAGTCGATGTTCTGATGTTCAGAATGTGCAGTTACCTTCATATAACCTGACTTTACTGTAAAAATGTTATCTCTAAGCGTGTGTTTCGACCTCTACTTTTATTCATTATCACTGTGCCTCTGTAAACATCTCAACACCCTACAAACTGGCATGGTTCATCTCAAGGAGTTTTGTCCTGATGCATAATAAATTTGAGCGAACCTATTTTCCTGCCCGCTGTCTTACGCTGCTATACTTTGGGTAATTAACCTTCAACCTCACTTCTTACAATCAGCCGTGGTTTATGACGCATCAATACCTTGTTGACCTCTCGGTGACCCCTGGTAAACCTTCCATTCATGCAGTCCCTGTGACTTGAGTGACCTGGAGTTCCTGGATGAAGAGTTTCACCAGAGCCTGCAGTGGATGAAGGACAACGACATCGAAGACATGCTGGACCTCACCTTCACTGTCAACGAGGAGGTCTTTGGACAGGTATGTACGGCTGAATAAGACAAGCCTCCGTACATTTGTTCAATTGGGACAGCGTCCTGTTAGAAATAGATCTGCATATAAATTTCATAAACCCCGTCTGCCTGTGATACTGCAGATTACAGAGAGAGAGCTGAAGCCTGGCGGGGCTGGTATCCCTGTCTCAGAGAAGAACAAAAAGGAGTACATCGAGCGAATGGTCAAGTGGCGTATAGAGAGAGGAGTGGCCCAGCAGACGGAGAGCCTGGTCCGAGGCTTCTATGAGGTACAGCACAATTATACTGATGTTGGAAACGTAAAAAATGGGCTGTTTAAGCCTGTCCTCAGGTGCCCACATAAATAGCTTGATCTAATCATCCCTCATGTTCACACTGGCTATTTCAAGATACCGTCCTCATGTGCTGCTATTATAAGTGATGACAAAACCCACAGTCTTTTCAGTTAAATTATATTAGAATGGGATCTTTCAATAGCCAGTATGTGCGGGGAAAATAACAGCAAACCAAACCTACTTCACATGATGCATGCAGTTACCTGAGTACTGTTTTAGGACAGATTTGAAAAACTGTGAACAAATTCTTTGTTGAAGCCTTGCGTTTTAAGTACTACTTTCTTCTTCACGGCACATAATGGCTGTAATATACTCTGTGACAGGATGGTTGATCAATAGCGGTGACGCAGTGTGGCTGCGTCATTGCATTAGCTTGCTGAAAATCCCTTTTTTTAATAGCGGTACAAACTCCGACTGACATCTGGCATTTGCAGCGCTGGATGATTGTGCTTTAAGCAGTAAGCTGGTGTCACAATATATTTCAGCTAGTAAGGCTAAAAATACTTCTGATCAAGCCAAAAGAGCAAATGACAAAGTAGCAGTGCACTTCAGTGAACTGAACAGTGACACATGAGCTCTTCGGTAGACATCTGTGACGTTCGCTCACTCAAACAAACGTACTTGTCTTGGTGAAGATTAAACCGATTCATGAAAATAAATCACATCGATTACTTACAAGTATCTGCTCCGTGCCATTTATGGATGCAGCAAATGTGGTTAGGCTCAAATGACAGCTAAACTTGTGGGTGTATTCTTTGAACTATTAGTGAGAATGCATTCTAATTTAACCCAGTAGGAAGATAGATGTTGACATCTGATAGCCCACAGTCCTGCAGGCTGTGAACGCATGACAAAGTGAAAGAGGAGTGGACTGTAATCTGGACAGGTGTTTATATTCAGCTATTTCCTTTTGTGTTTAGATAAATAGTGCAACCCCAACCCCTACTTAAATCCCTTTCCTGGCAAGATGACAGACAACCAGGCCAGTTGCCCGCCCTGGTATTCTAAACAAGTCCAATCCCATATTTACTGTAAACAGGCTGATGGGAAGTTTCCCCACAGTAGTGTGTGGCCGTGTATCTCCACGACATTGATCTACAGTAGCTGCATTGTCTCAACGCTCTATCTGTGATAAAAACATATGCTGTGCTATATCTTCATGTATTTCACTCATTCCCATGTATGTGCCTGTGTTTGCTTATTAGGTGGTGGATGTGCGACTGGTATCTGTGTTTGATGCCAGGGAGCTGGAGCTGGTTATTGCAGGCACTGCAGAGATCGACCTGGCAGACTGGAGGAACAACACCGAGTACAGAGGAGGTATGTAAAGCTCGAGGGCAGCAGTGAGGCAAGAGAGCAAGAGATGCAGATCAAAGTGTTTGTGGCGCACTGACAGCAACGTGATTAAATTAGCTAAGTCAAATACATACGCTCGCTCCGTTCCTGCGGTACATTCATTCACAACTTGAAGCTCCAAACGTGCAGCCACTAAACCTCTGCCAAGAGCAGTCGGGCATTAGATGCCTTGCTCTAGAGCACCTCCGTTCCCCCTTCTCATTTATTTTGTAGTGTCTTTCAACTGGTCCTGTGATTCAATCCAGCAATCTTCCTCACCTCTAGAGAGATACAAGAAAAAAAACAAAGCGTCCTTGTCATGAAGAGGACTGTTTTCACACTGACTTAGTCTAACCACCAGTGCCCACTGGAGGCAGCTGTTGGACCAGTCTGCTGCCATTTTAACCAAAGTATTCATGTCCACTGAATGAATGAGAAGAACCTTCTCTACCACCTTTACAAACTGGATCTCCGTTTTTTTTTTCTTTTAAATATATTTACTGATACTGATGCACCTAATTTGTTACTAACTTTGCATTTTCACACATAGATGAAAACTATAACGCTATTTCCCATGTTGTATTATTTAAAATGTACACAGTTTTGGAGATTGAACCACACTAGGGATCAAATGCCAGGACATATAAGCCTCTTCTCTATCTATTTTAATGATTGTAATCTGCATTGTGTGAGTCCTCTAACTCTAAGAGTACTAACGTCAGTACTATAGCACCCACTTTTCCATCCAGGTACCCACACTAAATTTTGCTAATTTGCTCTCTCAGTGAAGAAGGAGTTGGAGTGTTCGGATTTTCTTTGAGCTGAGGAGGAATAGAAAATTAACACACGAGAGAATCCGCAGGTTGACCTGCTGCCTGGATCTTTACTCCACATCATCGACACTTTTCTTGTTTCCTGTCTGCCTCTACTGCAATTATCCAATAAAAGCAAAAAAACCCAATAATTTAAAAAAAGTTAAATTCAGGGGCTCGCTTGGCAGTAACAGTAACACTGATCATAAAAGAGCTGTAAACACATGCACAAAAAATGTCTGCAAAACCACTCTAAACACTAATAAGAACCCAACTACTAACTACTATCTCCTCCAACATACACAGTTTTGTTGTTTCTCATGCTCCTGTCAGAGAGAATTGCTGTCAAACACCTGAAGTTGTTTGTGTTAAATGTCAAAATGGGTCCAAACCAGAGAATTTTGATTAGATCAGTTTATCTAACTTAAATTTCCTTTAATTAACCGAAAAACACGAAACACACATTACTTCTTGAAATTATTGATTTTTTAAAAATTACTTACTCCACAATGAATAATGATTCCTCAGTTTGAGAAATAATTTCATTACTTATTTAACAATTGTATTAGACTTAATGTACTATATAATGAGATGGAAACTTTTGGCATTAGTGCTGTTTAATTATTGCAGTACAGATTTTGTACAGTACCAGGATGCAAGTGCCAGTGTACAAAGCATTTGTAAGAGATCACATTAAAAGGCTTTTTAAGGGTCTGGCCAATAGAGTTGAAAAGCCGCCAGCAGCTGGAAGACAAGAGAACTCAAACTGACAATCGGCCATGACTCAGTGTCAGGCTCTTTTAATAGAGGAATCCACTGAGACTGACAAAACTGCTCCGTCCATTAAACATTAAACAGCAGAGCCCATTCAAAAATCACAGTAGAAGAAGGGTGGGGTGGAAGGTGGAGAGGAGACGAGAGGAACAAGGGGACGGAGACCTTATTGGTTATTCATCTGACTCATGCGCCATCATCATCTATCTCCCTTCAGGTTACCATGACAACCACATAGTGATTCGCTGGTTCTGGGCAGCTGTGGAGAGATTCAACAATGAGCAGAGGCTGAGGCTGCTGCAGGTAGGGCACGTGGGTGACCGCATGCACACAGGCTGCCCCCATGTGGAGGCTGGCTGCTGAGCCGCGTTTACTTCCTTATATGACAATACACAAGCTTTCAGCTCGATAAAACTGCAGAAATAGGTTATTTCAGTCTTTCTTTTATCTGAATATATTGTACAAAGTGCATTCACATATCCTCAGTTTTAACAAGACAACATATTTTTTCAGTTTACAGTCATCCTCAAATGTATTCATACCCTTCCATTAAAGAAAAGGCGAAATTCACAATAGTCACTCACAAAACTAGACACTGGAAAAAGTAATAACAAATAAAAATTTGCTGAATTATAATTTAGTGAAATAAGACATTGCTTTTAAATTGTGTTTGAAAAGAATAAAAAAAAAAAAAAAAAAAAAAAACTGCTCCGGACGAATTAGAGCACTTTGCTGATGAGCAGCGGGCCAAAATCAAAATAGCTGTCAACAGGTACAGAAGTCTGATTGAGAGTTACAGAAAACACATGATAGTGTGTTTAATTGTGTTGAACCACAATCCAAAAGCAGTGTCATGATTTTCCTTACATTTTTATTTATTATTACTTTCGTCAATTTCAACTTATTTCAGTGACAGATGTTTATTTCCTTCTTTAATGGGAGGGTATGAATACATGTGAGGACGACTGTACATCAGTTTTAGGGCATCAAGTGTTTCAGAGGCTTTCATACTTTTCCTGACTTGTGTGTCCCTCCTCTCTCTAGTTTGTCACAGGCACCTCCAGTATTCCCTATGAGGGATTTGCCTCTCTACGGGGCAGTAATGGACCCCGCAGGTTCTGTGTGGAGAAGTGGGGGAAAATCACCTCCTTACCCAGGTAAGATCTGATGGGATGGCTATGTAGCAGGGCTGCACAATATGTCGTTTCAGTATCAATAGTGCATCACAGGAAGTGCGATGTGAAGTAGGAAAATTAACTCAAACACTTCTACAAGAGATCTAATCTACAAGAAAACTTTGTCTGATAGAACATAATATACAGCAGTTTTATAGTTCTTGGATAAACAGGTTTTTAAAAAACTTTATTTACAAGACAGAGTTCGTTGACATGCAGGCTCCACATGTGCACAGCAAAATGGACGAAGCACAGGAGACAGAAAAGGAAGGTTTGGTTGCAAAAAGAAACACAACGTCAGTCGTAGCGCCACACAACTAATGGAATATTAATCACTGTCATGACTTAAATGAACGTAATCGACTGAGATATCGTATCTTAAAATGGTCGTAGAAAACAGGCCATGTGTAAAAAATTATCACTTGGTTTCGACATGGGTTAATGTGGCATTAGAGCGCCTTATTTCACTTTTCCAGAGTCATGCTTTGGTCTCACACCTGTCTGAGCTGCTGCAGTAACTGAGTGGAGACTAGAAGCTTGTCTGTGTACAGCTGCCCAGCTAGCTTCGACTGTACCCTGCAGGTGAGGCTTTTCAGGAACATCAGTAAATCGTAGTGACTATTGATCAGTAAATGTTAAGCAAGTGAGGCTTTTTGGGTACAGTTTTATTTATATTTTACCTCCAGGATGTGCACTGAATTCAGGTGATGATTGTTTTATACAGATTTGTGTATTAGCAGTAATGTAGCACAACACGTAAGTGAAAGAAATCTAATTATTTTCTCTCTAAAATCAGTAAGTAATTTTGACAAATAAGCCAATTGTAATTTCAGTATTGATCAAAAAATAACTCTGATGATGATTTTGGTCATAACATGCAGCTTTAGTCAGTTGTATGGAAATATTAGAGATGATCTTGATCAAAAACAGCTGCTCTGTCTTGTAAATGCTGCCACCGCACGAAGCAGCGCAAATTGTTTGTTTGACCATTTAATTCAGCACCACAAACCTCTGAGCCAGATCTGAATGCCATCAAAGTGAAAAACCATTGTTTTACCACATGAGAAAGGTTACAAATCATGTGATTGCAATGAAAGATCTTCACAGTAAAAAGTTATTTTTCAGCTGTTGTAAATTGTGTTTTTATTTTCTGTGTAGATGCACTCCCTGAAAAATGGTCCAGTGTTTTTTCCAATATGGTGCAGCCCGACTGTAGCCATTTAGAAACTGAACAAAAATTATTATCAGGGAGAAAAGCTGGAGGCTTGTGTATTTCTCATGAAGGGAGTTTGGCCTTGAAAATACAATGTTGGTTGGTTTTTCGGTACGCACAGGACGACAGTCTTTTGCTTCGCTACAGCTTTACGGAGTTCTCTCTGCCTCTGTTGCATTTTTTAAAATTGTTGCATATTCTTGCAGTATTTGAGGGTGTAATTACTATTGGAGGTTTAGATTGCTGTCTTAATTAGCTTCTATTTTGTTGGAAATAGCATATACCAGCTCAATGGAGTCGTATTTTTTTTGACTTGTCAGGTGTTTTTTTTTCTTTCTTTTTTTTGTTTTTTACATCAAATGAAATATTAATATCGCTGAAAAGAGTCTTGTTTTTTTGTTTATTTATTTGTTTTTAAGTGTAAGATTTATTTCACCTCCCTGTTGGAATACTTGTTCAGTCTCTTACCAAAACTAATAAAGGTGCATTATATCTGCAGAGCCCTACTGGCTGAAAGGTACAAGTGATTCATTCGAGACATTTTTCTTTTGAATGTGTTTTTATATGACAGCAGCAAATGCAAAAAAAAAAAAAAAAACTCTCACAGATGAGTCATCTCAACATCTATCTAATAATCTTGTGGTGTGTGTTTGTGCAGGGCTCACACTTGCTTTAATCGTCTGGACCTCCCACCCTACCCCTCCTTCTCCATGCTTTACGAGAAGCTGGTAACCGCAGTAGAGGAAACAAGCACGTTCGGCTTGGAGTAACCTCAAACCGGCTGACACCCAGGGTTAACTGGGGAGAGATAATCGTCTGGAAATCCATGTTTCCCACTTAGGAGAGAGACAGAAAATAAAACTAATATCCTCAAAAGGCAACTAACCCCCCTCGTGGATAACTCCGCCGTTTCTTCCGACTGGCTTTACATCACTCAGCACGCAGGCTTCGTTCCGATTCTCTGCCTTTTCTTCTCCTTTGGATCACGTGAACACCTTCAAGAAGAAAGATGGAGAATCGGAAAATGGTTTGAAAAGCTGTACAGTACAATTTCTTGTTTTCATGGTAACCTTTGTTCACTTAGCCACATGTGTGCTTTATTTCTTTAGTTAATGGCCTTGGTTACTGGATTTCTAGCACCTCTCCTCCTCCTCCTCCTCCTCCTCCAACCTGCACCTCAGAGACAGCTGCTCAACCACAAAGCTCCCTTTCCCTCTCTGGACCTCGAAACTGTGTCTGTCCCTCACTGGGGCTGCAGTGTTATAAACTATATTACACACACATACACACCTTTGCACAAACACACACAAACATGTGAATTTTTCTTTGTATTTACAGGACAAACCAGTGTTTCCCCTGAGATTTTTATAAGCATGGAAAGATGTGACATTTTAGACGTTTAACTTGATGTTGGCTGGTCCTCCCTGCCTGTTTATGGCAGAGGTTACACTGGTTTGCTCAAATACACACTGACAGATGAACGCAAATCAATTATTCTAAGTCTGAAAATGCACTTGTTTTCACAGTTTTGATTCCCGAATAAGCTGGACAGCGAGTCACAAATCGTCAGTGATATTTACGGACAGTGACAGTGACCCGTTGTGATAATGACGGCAGGTTCTGGTCAGGACTGTTACCTTCAATACAGCGACATCAGAGCTCCTACATGAGCTCAAAAGGTAAAGACACACTGGAGAAAGAAACAGCAGTCCTGTTTCTGCATAGACACAACAAGGACAACCAGTGTCACACACAAAAACATGCATACAATATACAGCATTAGCCTTGCACCTTTAGGTGCACTTTCTTACGTGCAACAGATGCACTCACGCCAGTCCAACATAAACACATTTACTGACACACTTCAGTCAGATAGAAATGCAGGGTTCCTGTCTTTCAAACTGTTCCACACATTTCTCATGAGCAATAGATGCACTTTCTCACATAGACAGATGACGCCCGCTCGTAAGTGTGACACACAACGTCCTTCTCACTGATGTAATCGCCTCCCACTCAATGAAAGTGATGAATGTAACAAACCAGTGACTGAATGTATAAACTTCAAGCAACTCTGCTCGGCCTCTGAGGAAAATCTCGCTCCAAGCCGAAGAGGAAACACAAGGTAGAAAGTTTGAAGTGGAGGGACAGGAAATAAAGCATGACAGGTGCTTGAGGAATGTGGAGGCGCTTTACTTAATGTTGGCACCAGATTAGGCCTTGCTAGCTGAGACACAAGTGTGGTGTCATACAGGTACCGGGTCAGGCTGTGGTGGTAGGACTTTTTTAGTGCCTCTTGAGTTTTCCTGACCATAAAGTGAAATTTCATAAATTTTACAAGGGAAGTTTTGGACCAGATTCACATGTGTCACTCATCAAAGATGGTGAAACTGTTGGAGCTGTGGTTTTTAACAAATCAGATCTCAACACAAGGGGGCAATAAGGTGTTCTACCATTACTATGGCACTCAAATGAAAGAAGCAGTGATTTTGTCCTTATTGAAGGGTCTGACCAGGTGTCGGGATGATGTTATCAGGAACAAGCACCAGCCTTTAAGGCTGTAAGGATATTGTACTTAAGAACTTGTGGCATACAAGTCCATGCCAGACAATAGTTTTGTCTTAAAAGCATGTGATAAAACATTTCTCTTACTCTTAAGTGCACAACCTAAAGTCTGAGGACCCTTTCACTTTGTCTCCCACACACTACACAAACACACACACAGCACACACACACACACATACACACTTACAAATACACACATACGAATACACACATGCTCATTTTCTATGGGGTGCATGCAAGATTACACCTACTGTACAGAGTCCTGTTGGAGCTAGACCACAGGGGCTGGAATAGTGGTAGAGAGCCCCACATGTGGTACGACATGTGGAGGCAGACTGTTCCAGCCCCCCCTCCCAGCCCAATAATGCATGCAGGATCTTCCTGGTCAGCTCTGTGAGCTGTGCCTGGCAGAAACTCCTAGGTGGCGTTGTGTTATAGCTCGATATTGCATGCTGAAATAGTGCAACACACTGTCCTTACTAGCTTTTTTTGCATGAGGATATTGCTATCCATTCAGACAAAGGGGTGAGGGAGCTGGTTAAGTTGTGTCACTTTGGTTGTGGCGCTCACTTGAGGCATGCGGCCTTATGCTTACCTGACACTGTCATACCCTGAGTGTTAAGCTCATGGGAACCAGGTGTAGTAAGTAGGTGCTTTAGGAATGGACAATGTGTGAATGCAATAGTTTGTTTTCTCTATGACAGTGGAACGGCGAGTATCTTGGCAGCATGTTTCTAAAATGTTGTTACTTTCACATGTGCGTGTCTGCCTATCTTAGTAATAGGTCGATGGTTATGGTTCATTGCTTATGAGCAAGTAATGAATCAATAGGGCTGTTTTGATTTTGTGAAACGTGAGAGCACATGTATGTGTACCATGTGTGCAGTCCTGTTTGTCTCTTTGTATATAAATGTATATGTATGTCTGTCCTGTTGTGTGTATAAATATATATTTTGCACCGAATGTACCAAAGGTTTGGGGCTTGCAAAGTCAACCATTAGGCCTGCTCTCTATTTCAGTCTAACAAACACATCCCACTTCTGGCGTCTGCCAAATCCTTACAGAGCATCACCTCATGTTTGCTTGAGGGGCAGATTTGTGGCATGGGCAGCAACGCTTCACGTTAGGATATACATCACTCGGTCAGTTTGACATTCACCATAACGAGGCTTTTGTGGTGCAGAGGATGGGTAAGATTTTTGCTTCACATCAGAATGAAGACAGCTGCACCTCTCATCTTTCCTAGTACATTTCTGACAGGACCCGTCTCCAGTTTTCAGAATTCCACTCTATGCAAAGCTCCTGTATGTGTGTCTCCATTTCACTCCAATGATTGTAATAAAAGAGAACAAATGGCAAATTTTGATCAGTGATACACAATCCTTATTTATCTTTTACAAGAGTGTCATAGCAGTTGAATGATGTCATTCAGTTTTAAATCTTGAAGAGAGTATGGGGAAAGATCTGTTTAAAAAAGTCCAATTATGAAACTAACCCTATACCTGCTTTATACATTTGTGATCGCATGGTACTATGAAAACTTTTTTAGGTTTAGATGCTGAGGTCTGTGTGAAGCTTTGAGTGCACTCCAGATGCTTTGCAAGATGTTTTACAAGTAAAAGAAAAACTAGATGAAATGTTAAAAAAGGCAAAGATAAATATTTATTTAAATTAAACTTCAGCGAAGTGAAAAATGTTGACTTTTCATGTCAAGAATACGAGAAACCTACGTCAAAACAAAATGTAGACTTTCTCACACTTGTTTGTATCCTGATTTGGATTCACTCTCTGAAAAGTACGACTCAAAATTTTGAAATAGGAAGTCAAAGTTGTGAGAGACTGTGTCAAAATGATGGCAAAGTGTGGTGTAAAGATGATTGTGAAATAGAACTCTCAACCGTCTGTCAAAAACAGTGGAAATGCTGACTTTCTACATCAAATTTAAGAACCTAAACTAAAATGGTGAGAAATCCAATCAAATTATGACACAATTTTGATGCAAAAGTAATAAGAAAATTGGCTTGTAAGTCAGAATTGTTAAGCCAAAAGTATAATACACAATCGTGAAATAGAAAAAGTCAGGCATATTTCGTGTTTTGACGCAGCATGGGTAAATCCCTCACTCTCTCTGTTCTTGGCAGAAGTGGACTCCCAGGTTTTTCCACCTCTGAACAGCCACATTTCAAATCAACTTTTCGCCAAGCAAAACGGCAGTGCGCATGCGCCGTGCAGTGACGTGTCGCCAAGTGTCAAACAGAAGGATGTGGAGATGACCGAAAACTCCGCTCGTAACCTCACCAAGACGACCAGTAGTCGCCCGCAGAGGCAGGTTGGATAACCTCGTTACCCGTAGCTTTAGGTTTGCATAGACTAGCCGCTTTAATTTACCCGAGGACCGTTTAACTCACTTTTAAACCCGCGATATTGCCGTCGAGCTAACTTAGCGGCGGTTGAGCTAACCGGAGAACAGTAACATGTAACGAACGTGAAAACGGCCAGTGCTACAGTTAGCTAGCCGCTTAGGTCAGTTTTATCGTCCGTCTCTCGTTTGCTTAGCGTTTACTTCTTCGCTCGGTTTTTCCAGCCGAGTAGCAGGCAGGTAGGACTCACACCGAGGCTGGGGGCAGAGCAAGATGTCTCGGAGACGGCTTGACAGTCGCAGCGGACTCGCCGCCGGGCTGCTCGGAGAAACTCAGACCCCGGTCAGCGCGGAGCCGATGGAGAGCGTGTATGAAATCACCGGAGAGCTGGGGAGGTGAGTCCCAACGGGGTTTAACTTCTCCAGGAATAAAGTGATCCAGTAGTACCTCAGAATGTATTATCACATATTTACAATTGAGACTTGACTTTGGTGGAGCAGAAACTCCGTCTGTGAACTTTAGTTGCTCCCTGGCCCAACTTAGATTGTTTATTTAGGCAACACTGGTGCACATATGGGCAACAGAAATATTCAAAGGAACACTGTATGGACTACTGCTACGTGTGTTTTTTACACACAGACTAATGTTGTCTTTATCTGGCCATTTATACTAAAAAAAACACCCAAGTTCAAATTGCCTGTAAGTTTTGTATTTGCGCCAATGAATAGCTCATATCAGGTTATAAAAACACACGACTGTTAACGGTGTTTGGACTCTGGACTGTAAGCTTGAACCACAGTAAACACACGAGCCTGGCTGTACTGGGAACCTGACTTCATCATGCTACAGTGGACCTTTGTCATGTGTTTGTCAGTGTGTGTTTGGCTATGTGTGTGTGTGTGTGCCATGGCAACCACTGATGGTGGATGATCATATGCTAAGAAGCCTGAGGTGTGTTTGAAGTAATGTGTCATACAAGCGTGTACTTTGTAATTGTGCAGGAGGAAGGAAACAAGCGCATGTGGAAACCAGACTTTAGAAAGAAGAAATGGTCCGAGCCACTTCTGTTCACTTATTTGTTTGCAACTTGTCAAAACAGGAAGTTTTCAAAAAACATAAGTCCTGTCGTGTTGGGCTTAAAAATTTCCAGTTGTGCTTTTGACCTTTGGTGTGAAGTAATGCACAGCCATGGTACACCGGTGTCTTCACAGCGGGGAAAAACTTATCTCTCATGGTGTTCCCCGATGTTTGTCAGACCGAAACTCACAGCTAACTGTGGGCATTTATTCATGCAATAAGATGCATTAATCAGTCATTTCTACATTAACACTGATTGATTGTCTGACGACTGTGAAAGGAGGGCAGTGTTGGAAAAGAAACTACACTCTGCTCACAGTTTTAGTTGTCCAACACATACATTTACTTACTTTCTTTTAACCTTGTAGGCAGTCTGCCAGCACCAAACATCAGATATAACTTGTGACTAGCTGGCAAACATAGCATCTAGCAGGCTAAACAATGAGAAATGTAGATGTAGAGCAAACCAGGGCTAACAGGAGAGTGAAAGCTCTACTCTCATTAGAAGCAAAATGTCAAAATGAGTTTGATTTTTTCTCATTTTCTTTTTTATCTCGATATCTTAGAAGCATATTTAGTTTGATGAGGAGCCAACAGTTGATCTGCTTAGTTTTTAAATGGTGGCAAGACAATACAGAAAGACATGCATAGTTAACATGGTGGAGTCTTTCCCTAGAATTATTACTGTATGGTGTCAACTTTAAAAATATGTATTACAGACATATTTTGTTTGTCAGATACTGAAACGAATACAGTGTTTTCAGGACTGATATGATATTCTTTATATGCAGTCGTGGACAAAAGTTTACACTTGTAAAGGCTCGTCTTGAGTTTCCAGTGATCCCTACAACTCTTAATTTTCTATGATGGAATGTTCGAAAAGCTTGCATCTTTGTCGGAAAAAACAATCATGCATTTTGGTTCTTTTATAGATTTAGGTTTTCTAGAAATATGTCAAAATCTGCTGAGTTAAAACTGTACACACAGCAACTTGAATTATCAATTTTGGTGAGGTTGTGTTCATGAAATTTTCTGAGTGGCATGGCCTCTTTACTTCTCATGAGCGATTGCAGTTGACTACAGCTGCTGACTCTGGGCCATTTGATGCACTCATTAGACTCAGCCACAAACACTACAATAGGAAAGAATTGAGTACAGATCTGATGATGCAAATCATTGACTTGAACAAGTCAGGAAAGTCACTCGGAGCCATTTCTAAGATGCTTTGGATTCCAAAATCATCTGTGCAAATACTTTTCAGTATAAAGTGCGTGGCATAGTTGTGTTACTGCCACGATCAGGAAGAAAATGCAAACTGGTACCTGCTTCTGAGAGACAATTGGTCAGGATGGTCAAGCAGTCATACAAGAAGGAGGTAACGGCACCTGAAAGCTCAACTGAAGTTTGCTGCTGATCACATGGACCAAAAAAAGACCTGCTGGAGGAAAGTTCTGTGATCAGATCAAACAAAATTTGAGCTTTTTGGGCTACAGTGACCACAAATATATTTGCAAGGGAGAAGGTGAGGCCTTAAACCCCAACAACACCAAACTTACTGTTAAGCATGGTGGTGGTAGTATCATGCTCTGGGACTGTTTTACTGTCAGTAGACCTGGTGGAACCGAAAATCATCAGCCAGATGGTTGGGTCTTAGATGCAGTTGCGTGTTCCAACAAGAAGGTAACCCCAAACACACATCAAAAGTAGCAAAGAAATGTCTAAAAAAAAAAAAAAGAGGCTAAAATTAAGGTTTTAGACTGGTCTCCCCAAAGTCCTGAATTAAACCTCATCAAGAAGGACTGTGATGAAGAAACAAGTCCAACAAATTGAGTTTAAACGTACCAAATCTGTCAAGAGGAGTGGAGATAATGAAAGATACAACCAGAAGCTTGCCAGATGCTACAAAAAAAAAAAACCTAATTAAGGTAAAATGGCCAAAGGATGTTTAACCAGATGTTAGTATTGCTGTGTGTATAGTTTTGACTCAGCAGATTTTGTCATATTTCCAGAAGACCTAAAATACGCATGATTGTTATTTTATGACAACGATGCATGTGCTTCAGTCACTATATCATTAAAAATAAAGAGTGTCAGTGGAAACTCATCACTGCCATGAAATACATTGTGTTGACAAGGGTATGTACACTTTTGTTGACGACAGTATTGAAAAGGGAAATGATGGGGCAATCAACTGTCCTGCAATGTATTTCCCAAACGAGTTAGCAATTTACCGTGAGAACACTGCTTGACTCCACACCACTGTCTTTGGTACATGACAGTGCTGAGAGTTTTGTAACTGGAGTGGGAGCTGCTCTGGTGGGAAAACTGCATGATGCATTTTCTGAACAACCCCAAGCATCTTTTTCTGTATTATATTCCAGTTAAACAATTTTCTAACTGGACAACACATATACCAAAACTAATATACTGTATCTGTGATGTGCAAAAAGCAGCCTACTGATGTGTTGGTCAGGCTTATAAAAGTCTTGGGTGTTGCCACGAAGGAGTTTAGCACCATTGTTCTATTATTTAAGAGAGTTATGTTGGGTCTGTAACCTTTGTAGTTGCTGCTCTTGGGTTTTGGTGAAGCTGTTATTTTTGGATTCGATTTATTTGTCTTTGCTGACGTCTTTGCGCAGCCCTGGGGGAGAATGTTTTAACTAATTGCACAAAATACCAGCAGAGTATCAAAAGGGGTTTTCTCATAACTGGAGGTCGACTTCTCTGGACAGTTTTGTTTAATAATTAGTGATTAGTGTTTTTCTTGCTAAACCTTCGCCCTATTAAAGGTCACAAACACCATAAATATTGCGTGACTGTATGCTTTCTGTAATATATTTATTGCATTTAATAACACAAACTGATAATGCAGTCACAAGACACAGCAGCATCGTTATCACTAAGCTGTCAGGAACCGTACTGGCATTAGATACGACACAGAGCCTGTTATCTAATGCCAGTATTTGCATAGCACCATTCTCCCAAGGCTGAAGTCACTTACAAACACGTCATGAAGGCAGGGCAGTGTATGAATCACTACTACATACTGTGTTTAATTGTGAAAGTTTTGCGGAGTCATGTTGAGACGTTTTGCTTTCTAAATTAACGTTGTCAAGGTGTTTGTTTCCCAAAATATTGAGCAGCATTTTTCTTAGACCAGGTGGCCTCCTCTGCATCAGCCTACACTCAAATAGCATCTGTACAGTAACTTTAGTTTCACTTAAGGGTGTCTCTTCTTTATTTTGTATTGTTGAGAAAGATCCAATAAAGCTGATCTAACTGGCAGTTGGTCACTTTCACTCTAAAGGGGCATTTTCACTGTTTCGTTTCTCCTAGGGGGAAGTTCGCTGTGGTCAAGCGCTGCGTGGAGAAGGCCACGGGGAAAGTGTTTGCGGCCAAGTTTCTAAGAAAGAGAAGGAGAGGTCGTGACTGCCGGGCCGAAGTCATTCATGAGATGGCTGTCCTGGAGGCTGCCCGTAACAACGCCCGGGTGGTCAACCTGCACGCCGCCTACGAGACGGATCACGACATCGTGTTGGTGCTGGAGTAGTGAGTTCAGAACAAAGCTTGTTCTTTCTTGTTATATTCTGCCTTTTTGATTTCATATATGACGAATCATATTTAATCCATCTCTTAATCACACTTTCTACATATTTCTGATACAAACATGCCGAACCAGCAACATGAACCTGTAAATACTTGTATAAGGGCAAAGTCCAGTTGGTCCGGTCTTAAAGAGCTGCCACATTAACTGCTTTTTCTTTTCTTTTTTTTTTTACATAACTCCAAACAGCTCATTCTTCATAACAGGTTTTACAGGATTTGCTTGAAGACTGAAAGGCCTGTGCTGGCTAAATTACTGTACAGCTTGAGCTGAAACTCTAGATTTAGATGACCTGGATGAAAATCCTTTTAGTCCTGACCTCTTGAACTTTCATGCTAAGTTATCCTTTCAAATGAACCTCATCTTTGTCCTCCCTCTCCTTCGTCTTGTCTTTTTGTGCAATCAAAACAGAAACTATATGTGAGACCAAGATTAGAAATAAGAATACATGGGGTTGTGTGGATTTTCTAACCACACCTTCAGTACTCAGTGGAGACGTTTTAATCCCTCCCAGAGAGCAATGACGACGTTAGCAACTCATTTTGTTGATCTAAGAAAGCCTGGACACCTCAAAAACAGCTTTGACATATACCAAATTACAAGCCTGAATAACATGAAATGCAGTAAAAACAGATGAACTCTGGACACAATTTGCACTCTGTGTTTTTGGCTGGCACCTGTACCTACACTGCTGTACAGTGACTAAGCAGGAAGGAGCTTTCTTTCTTGGATAATAAAGCTTTGCCAGAAAGTGCAAGAACTAACTGTTTACCCCCTGGCTAAGGGTTGGCCACTGAAACCACCATGCCACACTGCAGGCCATAAATAAACTATGCTTCAGTTTATCTTGTGGAAAGTCCACCACATACAGACTGCATCAAATGTCAGAAAATTGCCTGCTATCTGACTAGCCGTAGACATTTTAGCAGATGGCCTGTTCATGAACTGCCTCTGTGTGTGTGTTTCCATGTATTTATTTTGTGTTTTCTCTTTGCCCAGTGCGGCGGGTGGAGAGATATTTGACCACTGTGTGTCTGAAGAGCTGCTGCCAGAAGCCCATATCACCCGTCTGATCAGGCAGACACTGGAGGGAGTCCACTACCTCCACCAGAGCAACCTGGTTCACTTAGACCTCAAGGTCTTTACACACACACACACACACAAACAGAATCACATGCAAGAATGTCGCTGGGGCTGTGGGAATCTATTTCTAAATGTTCGCTCACTTCACCCTTAAGTGTGTGGTTTTCTCTTTTTTTGGGAACACTCAAAACCTCAATTTCCTATTTCCATGACACAGTTAAGCCCAGACCAGGATTATAGGTGGTAATAGAGCCTCTAGCCCCGGGCAAAGTGGGAAGATTAACAAAGAAAAATGGAGATTTAAACACCAGTCTTACAGCATTTACATCTGAGTGTGAAAGGTCATGTTTGTGGCCACAGCTGCAGGTGAATCACCGTGTTTAATGGTCACCACGTCATCATATTAATGTAAATATCACTAGGGCTGGGAATCCTACATGAGCGTGCGTTTCAACATACTGTAGTGTATGTTCTCAGCCTCACTTGAAGGGAATGACGTGGTAACATAATAGCGGTGTTTATACAGCATCATAGAGTCAATATACATTCAGTACTTCAATAAATGGCTGCGTTAGACGTGGTAAACACCTCTCCCTCTCAGCAGGCAAATTCATTACTAATTGTTCCATAAGCTCTTCAGGAATATGTTTTATCTTTCCAGCACGTTCTCACTGTGTTTCTTCATGTCTCTCTCAGCCCCAGAACATTCTCCTGACCAGCCTGTCCCCTCCAGGAGACATAAAGATTGTAGACTTTGGCCTGGCACGCAGACTGGGTGCGGTTGGAGAGCTCAGAGAGATTCTTGGCACACCTGAATATGTGGGTAAGGTGATATTCATAAAACTCGTTTTCATCACTCAGAGACATCGGACAGGAGCTGACGTGCAGTCGGTGGTTTTGTTTATGCATTAACGATGGTTTGTGGTTAATGAGAAGCACTTGTTGTCATCTTTAGTGTACTTTTCACACTTATTGGTAGAAGAATTACTGCAGCGGCTACTCGTAATTACAAATAGCCGTCAGCCATACAGATAATTGGGTTTTATAAGTTTGAAAAAAAAAAAAACCTCTCAGTCAGACCTCAACTTTGGCCCGTCCATTTGTCTACCCTTTTTATGCACATTTTATTTTCGATGCTGCTTTATGGTTGTTTTTCTGTGCAGTCTTGAATTGAATCAGTCGATTGACGATAAGCAGAGTAATAAAACAGACACACCTGAGCAGTGAGAGAAGAAGACATCATAACTCATGGAATGATACAGGAAATTACACCACAACATTCTTGCAACATTGAATAACAGCTGACTTTCATTTCTTTTTCTTTCATGTTCAGCTCCAGAGATCCTCAATTATGAACCAATCACAACATCAACTGACCTGTGGTGAGTCCATCCCTGCAGAATTGTGACTGACTTCACCCGTTCCACCTTGAAGGTCTCTGTGCTGGGACCAGGCAGGGTCTGGATTTAAAACTCAACCAGCTGCCATATTTAGAAAGTTGCAGACTGTGTCACATCCAGCCTGCTGCTACCAAGATTATAACGGATAAAGCATTGCTCTGCTTCATTGCTTCTGTATGAAATGTGGTAGAGTTGCGGTTGAGAAGTTTTAGAACAGATCCAGTGACATCAGTGTTTATTGGTTAAAAGGATATTATTTACTCTCTAATTCAGTTTGGATGGAGCTGAAGTGAAAAAGTTTTGGCATGTCAAAATTCTCCTGTTTAACCCCAAGCAGTTTCTGGGTGTTTTCTTTTTTCTTTTTGCCATATGTTCTTTCTATATACAGAGATATTTAACTATTTGCATCTTTAATTTGTTTCTGTACTCTGCTCTGTGTAAACACCGCCTGGAGTTTACCTGAAAAGTCCCTACATTTTCTATCATGTGGAAGCTGGGTACCACTGAGTCACTGGTAGCTTCAGGGTTGTCCCAAGGAGTGCAGAATTTGTTGTTTTTTTTACCAAATCTGGTGCAAACAGTTACATTTTGGGGTATTTTTAAAATGAAAGGTTATTAGATCAAAGTGATTTTGATGAAATATTGCAATGTAACTTAGATTCTGTTTATTTTCCATACAGAACTACACGCCACACAAGCAATTGGCTGCACGGTTTCAGACAAACGTTAATCTATTTATAGGATAACGTGCCTTTCAAAGCTGCTGCCAGGTTTTGCAGCTCAGAGTTAAGACATTATAACACGAATGTAAATACCACTGAGGTTGGGAATTTTACATGAGCAGGTTCTTCAACATAGATGCTAATCAAACAAACATGTACTCCGTGTTCTGTAGAAAAATGACGCAACAACATAATAGCAGTGTTTAAACAGTGTCACAGGTTCAATATGTGTGTAAACCAGCGAATAGAATCATTTTTGGGAAGAGGTTTCAGCCTACACTAAAGGAAAATCACCAGCAAAATAATTTTTTTTAGCCAGTTTTGTTAATTGGGGTTTCAGTTTGCTAAGAATAATGGATGTTTTTGTTTATAAAATGGTCAAACATAACAGGGAAATGCATGGATTTCAGGCAAATGGGAAACACTGACTCAATGCCTGCACCGTGCCCACATAGATCAGGCTTACTGTTGTGAGTAGTCACCCTCCAATGACCCATTCTGAGCCA